GCTCACACAACAGAGCCAGCAGACACTGCCCCAGCCACTGTCCTAACTGAAGGATCCACGGCCTTCCAGCCCAGCCTTGGTTCAGCCCACACGACTCAGCTAGCTGTCAGCTCCCAGATCACACCTGGGCCTGAAGGATCTACCACCTTGTCAAGCAGCTCAGGGTCAGCACGCACAGCAATGCTGTCTGACAGCCCCCAAACTACGTTGGTGTCTGAAGGATCTACACCTTTCCTAAGCAGCCCAGGTTCAAGACCCACAATGGTGTCACCTGACACCTCCCAAACCTCAGTCCTGAAAGATGCATCTACCACCTTGCCAAGCAGCTCCTATTCAGCACACGTGACACCTACATCTCACAGCTCCCAAAGCACTGCCCTTTCTGAGGGACCTAGTGTGTTCCCACACAGCCCAGGGTCAGAACCCACAAGAGTGACATCCCCCAGCTCACAAACCTCTATTCCAACCAGAGAATCTACCAGGTTTCCAAGCAGCCCTGCTTCAGCACACACGGCAGAGCCAGCAGGCAGCTCTCGGACCACAGTCCAGACTGAAGGACAGACCAGCCTCCAGACCACCTCTGAAGCATCTCACTCGACAGCACCAGCAGACGCCTCCCCAGTCACAGTCCTTCCAGAAGGATCCACAGCCTCCCAGAAAAGCCCTGGTTCAGCCCACTCTAGACCACCCTTGGATGTCTCCCAAACCTCCGTGTCAGTTGAAGTATCTACAGCCTTGCCGAGCATCCCAGGTTCTGACCACACCACGGTGCCATCTTATACGTCCCAAACCAAGGTCTCGACTGAAAGATGGACAGCCTTCCCCAGCAGCCCAGGTTCAGGATACACGACGGCACCACCTCGCAGCTCTAGAACCACGGTCCTCCATGCCACCTCTTGGAGTTCTTTCTCGATGTCCTCCTTCTCAGCAGTCTCTAATGCTTCTGTTCCTACAAGTTCTCCTGGTTTTTCTTCTCACTCTACTTCATCCCCAGCCCCCGTGTTCCCAACCAATTCCACCGCTGGTCCTGCATTCACCAGCAACCACACCACTTCCATGACCACCAGCTCTTCCTCTTTGCCACCAGGTGCGTCTCTGTGTGTGTCATCTGTGTGTCCCGTGCTCTGATCACCTGTTCCCGTTGTCGTTTTCCACTTTTCCTGCTCTCTCTGGCCACCATGCCTTTCACCCACATTGATAGCTGTTGTCCTTCTGGGGTTCTCAGGGCTCTTCTTTGTCTATTTCTTGTTTCCTTGCTCTCAGCCTGTCTCCTCCTTCCCCTACTTACTCTGGGAACAGGGTGGGACCTGAGGGTCCTCCGTGGCTGCAGGATCACCTGGTCCTATCTTTCTCTTTAATGTAATGCCTGCGTGCTGAGACCTGGCTGGGAGCCAGTGTTTCTGCTCCTCGGGCTTCCTTGATGACCTACAGGAATTCTGTCCCTCCACAGTGGATTGCTACAACGGTGGACATTGGAATGGAAAAGAATGCGTCTGTCCCCAAGGCTACTTTGGTTACCAGTGCCAGACCCTCCTGTATTCCTTCCCCATAGGTAATGACCTCTCAGACCTATAGATCCTTCCATGCCCCTTAGCGCTTAAAATAAGATGGTAGTGTTGGAAGCACTGGCCACGTCCTCGCTGGGCAGGCAGAGGCCATGATGAGACTTGTCCAGGCTACAGCTCGGGTAGGACGTGAACCTTTGGCCACCATCTTTAGGGGACTTTTCACTAGTTCTCCTGCCCATTCCATCAGGGGGTTTCTATCTCCCAACTTCCTGGAGTCTTCCACTTAATTCCCTCTGGGTCTCAATCCTGGCCACTAGCTTCTCATGGGATTGGGAGACCAGGGACAGAAGTCTCAGTGACCCCACCTGACTCTTGATTTTCCCAGCCTCTGGTCCTAACCCACGTGGTTCTCTGCCATGAGACCCAGAGGCAGAGAATTTACCAGTCCCCAGCGGTACTTGGGGAGGTTGTTCTCTCATGCACAGTGTGGCCTGTCCCCCACAGAAGTCCCAGACGTCCTCAATGCCACCGTAACAGTGATAGTGAAAGTGATTCACAGGAACTTCACAAATGACCTGAATAACGCATCCTCCCAGGCGTACCAGAATTTCACAGAACTTTTCAAGCAAGAGGTAAGAGCAGGGGTGCCCAGGGGTGCTGGGCTGGGGGACTCACCCATGCTCTGCAGCTCATGGGCCTCTCTGTCTCCCAAGTCTCAAGAGGGGACCCTCTGATAGCCTCCACCCGGGAACCCCACCCACCCTGCACGTGTCTGGCAGAGTGGGCTTCCTGTGCCTTTCTGTCCTCTCTCCTGTGGGCCCCCGCAGGAGAGAGCCTGGGGCTGCCAGGAGATGGGGGCGTGGCCTCTGCACTCTGGAGCCCTGTGTTGATCTCAGCAGTTTCTTTCAGATGAACAAAGTCTACATGGGGAAGGACCTTTCTGAATACAGAGAGGTGATCATCAGGAAATTGCTGTAAGTATGTTGGGGGGCAGGTTTATACGCTGTAGGGAGCCCCTCTCTCTAGCCCTGCTGTCCTGCCTCCTCCGTTATGAATGGTTAGCATGTCCACCCCCGGCTGGGCCACACCTGAGGGAGTCCATGCCTCCATTCATCCACCTCGTGATTCATTCTTTTGTTAGCTCTTTCATTACTTGTTCATTGATTCTTGATTAATTATCCATTGACACTTGATCCTTCATTCACTCAACAATCGTTTATTAAAAGCCAGCCCTGTGCTAGATGGCGGGAGCACATGAGTCCCAGTTTCCTGGAGCTCAGAGTGGCACAGTGGCTGTGCAGTCTGGAGCGAGGTGGGGTCAGGGACCCTCGGGGTGCCACCGGGGTGGGGGGTCCTGAAAGCAAGCCTGGGGAGGTAGGAGGATTCTTCCTGGGAGATGGGGCGACTAAGTCAAACCTTGAGGGATGAGGGAGAGTGAGGCAGGGCCAGGGAAGGGAGGGGGAGAGAGGGACAGCCAAGGGCAGAGACCAGGACGAGGAGCCCAGAGTTGAGGGAGGGGGGAAGATTCCAGGAACTTAAAGGTGCTCTAGTCGGCTGGCGGCCTGGGGAAGAGCAGGCGCACTGGGACAAGGTTGGAGACCTGGCGGGTGTCAGGTTAGTTAGACCTGAGGCGTCTACAGGTCCAGCCGTGACAGGGGGTATCTGACTTTCAGGGCAGGCTGCTCAGGGTGGAGAACGGGTGCCCAGGGGTCTAACCTGGAGGTGAAGGTGGTAAAGACCAGAGAGAGGTGACAGTCAGGAGAAAAGGAGTTCAGTGGGAAAGGTCATGGGAGGCAGGACCAGCCCTAGAGGATGACGGGTGTCTGTTATTGGGGGTGGAAGAGGAACCGATGAGGATCGGCCACGATTCTGGGATGCTGGGGTGTGGGGTGCTCTGTGCTGGGACAAGGAGAAGAACAGAGAAGAAGTCAGAGTGTGGTGTGGCTGTGTCCAGGTTCGAGTGCCCGAGCCCAGCCATGGGCTGATGGGGACTGAACTCTGAAGAGCCCTGATGGAAACACAGTCACCGAGGCTGGCTTTGAACTCTTGATCCTCCTGCCTCAGCCTCCTGAGTCACTGGGATTACAGGTGTGCACCACAGCCTTCAGTTTTATTTTTAGTCTTAATTTACCTTTTGTTGGTGCATTATCACGATACATAACAGTGTGATTCCTTATACCACAGTCATAACATGATTTGATCGGTCTGCTGGGTGGCGCATGCCTATAATCCCAGTGACTCAGGAGGCTGAGGCAGGAGGATTGCAAGTCTGAGGTCAGCCTCGGCAACTTAGCAAGGCCTTAAATAATGCAGTGAGAACCTGTCTCAAAAATAAATAAATAAATAAATAAAAAAGGCTGAGAATGAGAGTGTGACTCAGTTGCAAAGGCCTCTGGGTTCTGTTTCTAGAAAAAAAAAATCATATTATTAATCTCATTCCCCAGTACATTTCCTTTGTGATCCCTCCTCCCTTCCCTCATCCACTTGCTCTACTCCTACCAACCTCCCTTTCATTATTATTATTATTATTATTATTATTATTATTATTATTTTAATCAGTGCATTATCGTCACATACATAGGCAGGCTCCTGGTGGTGTGTACGTACATGGACACGTATGATTTGGTGATCTTGCTGTCCAGGTCCTCTGCTCCCCTTCCCCATCTCCTTCTCTTCTCCATCAGTCTCCTTCTATTTTCATGAGATCTACCCCCTCTCTTTTCATTCCTCCCTCCACCCCCCGCCCCCAGCCAGCTTCCGCATCAGGCGCCTCTGGGTTCACAGAGATGGATTCCACCCGTGGACATTACAGTGGCTGCTGCTCTTTCTGGACCTTACCTGGTCTTGCTCCACTGCCTCCTCCATGGTTAGCAGCTCAAGAGAGGAACTCTCTTCTTCCCTGTCTCTGGGGCTACTTTGTCCCCCATTTCTCCTCCTGCTTCTTCGGGGGGGGGCCACCCTTGCTGGGCAGGTGGGTGACATCGGGGACCTGAGGAAACAACTCCTCATTCCAGCAACGGCAGCATCGTGGTGGAAAGTGACGTGGTCCTGGAGACCAACTATACCTCGGAGTTTCGGACACACTTCCAGAACCTCAAAAATATCGTGAAGGCCAAGATCACGAATGCAACCAGAGAGATCCAGAAAGATATTCTCAAGTGTCAAAGTAGGCTCCCCCAAAACTCCTTGGCATCGGTGGTAAAGGGGGTCTCGGTCTCGGCCTCCTGCTCCCTGACTCCGGAAGCTTCACGTAGAGAAATCTAGAACCCAGGTCAGGGGACCTCCCCTGACCCCATCCTCCTTCCTGCCTTCAGTACCCTCAATGGCCCCCCTTGAGCCTGTCCACAGGCCCTTTGCATATCCGGGGATGGGCCACCACCCCTCTGGTGCTGGCCCAGTGAGGAAGGTGTGGTAGAGATTGGGGAGCCCTGGCTACACCCGTGGAGGTGGAGGGAAGCATTTCTCTTGGTTTTCTTCTCCCTCGTCCCCGGCAGATTCCATATTGTGTTACAACTCAGAGGACACTAGGGTGGAAGAGGATGTGAAGTTGGGCTACGACCCCCAGGGTGAGCATCTCGGGTGGACAGAAGAGGGTAGGGTGTGGGCAGTGAGCCTGGAGTCGAAGGGGAGCTGTAGCCAGGCTGACACCCACTGCCCGTCCCTCACCTCCAGAGCAATGTGCCCGGGGAGCTGCCCAGGGCTACGGCCAATTCTACTACGTGGATGAACTGGACGGAAGGCTGGCCTGCGTGACCAAGTGCACCCCAGGGACAAAGTCGCAACTCAACTGTAACCAGGGCGAGTGCCAGCTGCAGCAGAGTGGCCCCCGCTGCCTGTGAGCACCCACCTTCTCCTAGTGGAAAGGCTCTCCCCACCCTTGTCCGCTCCCATGGGTCAAGTGGAGGTGGCCAAGCTTGGAAGGCACCTTCTCCTTCCTCCTCTCCATGTTTTCTCCTTCTACCTGGGTCTGCCATCGCCCCTCACCCCCATGAGAGTCAAGGATGGGCACATTGTAGAGTCGGGCATCTGTGGCCAAGCCATCCCCTTCCTGATAAAGCTCAGCCGGTCAACTTCCCCCCTCTCTCTCTCTGTCTGCCTGTCTCTGTGACTGTCACTTATGTTATCTCGCTGTGGTACCATTATCACTTTCAGCTGTGGCCTAGAATTAAGTTCCCAAGACCATAAATTAAAGTATAAAATCTAAAACAAGATAACAAGCGCATCAGATGCCAGCTACTTGGAGATTAGATGGGTAAACCTCACTGCCTGGGCCAACTTGCCCAGCTCCCTGGGATCCCTCTGAGCCCGAGTCTTCAGAATTCCTGTTCTGCTGGCCCTGAGTCCCTGACCTTTAGGAGTCAGGCTTTCTGAGTACCCAGTCTCTGTCCCCAGCTTTGGAATTGATGTTTGCTTTGGAGATTAGCCCTCCTTGACCAGAGGGATGCCTGTGGACTGGCTTGAGTTTGTGTGTGTCCCCAGGTGCCCGAACACGAACACACACTGGTACTGGGGAGAGACCTGTGAGTTGAGCCTCAGCAAGAATCTCGTGTATGGGATAGTGGCTGCTGTGGTGGCGGTGATGCTGATCGTCGTGGTCATCCTGACCATCCTCCTTGGTCGATCCCAGAGGAAACTGCACAGGTGAGCAGTGGGGACGGCACAGTGGGCCCAGAGAGAGGAGACAGAAGGAGAGAAGGGACCCTGGGCAGCCAGGGTCCTGAGGCTCTGTTCCATTCAGCCAGACAAAGAGGCCAGCAGAGGCCAGACGGGGTGCAGGGTCCCTTCCAGCCCAGGGCCTTTGGATACATCTGTTAGGCCAAGAAATGGAAACAAAAACTTAAGCCCTGGAGTTAGATTGTGCAATGAGATCATTTGCGGTTTATTATCACCTGGCCGGCTCTTGGGCAACTTAGCTGTACTGGTTAGTTGGGAATGAGCCAGCTCGGTCCTGCTTTCCCAGCTATAAATAGAATAAGACACGCGTGCGAAGACTGAGGTGAAATACTGGGTGCAGCACCTGGCCCCAGGTCTGTAGCTGGAGGGATCCACCCTGACCCTATTGCAATGTCCCCATCACAGAGTCAAGGAACTGAGGGGACTGAAGGGCACCCAGGAAGTCCAGCCAGGACCCTCAGAGGGTGGGGAGGTCATGATGAACTTCTTCATTCACTGCAGGGCCCTCCCTGACTCAGGGCTGTGGCCGTGACAGTCCCCTAGGGGAAGCCCAGGGGTCGGACCCTTCGAGCCCCTTCCTTGGCCTCCCCGCGTCCCGCTGCTCACCACACTTCTGTTAACAGGCAAGAGTACGATCCTTCTCGGGAGTGGCAGAGAGAAGGCATCCCTGGCACCTTCCAGAACACAGACATCTGGGAAGGTACCTGTCGTCAGGGCACAGGGCGGGGGAACCTGGAGGGACCCTCCGTTTTCTCAGCTTCTCCCTATTGGATTGCTGGGTCCTGCACCGCCACCCTCCCCCTCCTGGCCTTTGCACATGCTGGGGCACCATCTAGAACATTCCCACTCTGCAGGCCCCGATCCCAGTCTGTTTCCAGGATCTGGTTTAGACACTGGCCCCTCCAGGAAGCCTCCTTGTCCTTCAGCCGACTCTGGCTCCAGAGTCGCTCAGGAAGCCCCTCGTGCCATGTCTGCCCCTGTCCCTGCCTCCATAGCCTCTCCCCCAAGAGTGTGGCTGGCCTCTGCCCCGGTCCTGCCCCTGAGCAAGCCCAGCCTTCCGGGCTTCCCAGTTCTTTCTGACGCGCCATGCTCTGCCCTGTACACAGTGGAGTGGAGGGTGCTGAGGGCCGGCTTCTGCCGTAAAAGAGCACCTGGCAACGGTATCAGACATGCCCTGCACCAAGTGAGATGGCAGGGTGGTGCCCAGCCCGTGACTGGAACACGGAGGAGGCCTGGCCCAGCCTGGGTGGGGGTCAGAAAAGGCTTCTGAGGAGGTGCCACCTGAGTTGAGTGTGGTTCTCCAAGCAATGGGTCAGAGGTGGACTTCCTGCTCCCAGAAGAGTCCCATTAAGACAGGGAAAGGGCTGGGGGAGCGTCTGCCCCACACAAGGAAGGGGACAACCCAGCATTCCTGGCCAAGCTGGGCTCTTCCTGTTGTGGTTACTGTTGCTATGGGTGGGGCAGGTTGGGGACACCTGCTGAGTCAGGTGGCTGCCTCCTGTTCCAATCTATAACCTCATTACATTGTACCATGGCGCACCAGGCCCCTGGCCATGGCCCCCACTTCCTGGGCTATGACATTTCACCCCTGTCATGTGATGGTGGGCTGCCGCTCAGCTTGCCTTCTGTCCCTAGGTCCTGCTGGGCCAGCTACCCAGGCAAGCTCCAAACCCCCAAGACCCCATCAGAGGGCTGAATGGTGGGAGGATTCTCTTTCTTTTTTTGGAAACTACCCCCTGTGTCACCCAGCCCCTCCTTGATCCCCTCTCACTTCACACCTCTCCCTACAGACAAGAACCTGAAGGAGGACAAATTTGGCCTTGAGAATGGCTACAGTCACTTCCGACCCTCCCTGGAGAAGGTGGACCCCACCACAGAGGTGACTCAGATAAGCTTGTCCCAGCCCCAGAGTTTCCCCAGCCCTGGGGCTGCCCCTTGTCATCACCTGTCCCTTCTCTCCACCAGCTCCACATTCAGAAGCCAGAAGTGGTGACAACGGCTCTGTGAGGGACATGGCTCCCACCCTCCATCCAGATTTGGACAACAGAGAGAGGCCCACCGCAGGCAACCCTGGGTAGTCAGGAGCAAGCCGAGGCCAGACCGGCAGATCTGCTCCGGGTGGCGGACTCGCCAGTGGTCCCTTGCCCTGGGCCATGAAGAGGCAGCAGGGGCCAAGAGCCCTCATCCCTCTGTCCAGGAGCCCCAAGGTTTCCAGACACCCTGCCATCTTGTTTGCTCTTGGGTGATTCCTTGGTCTGGAATTTACCTCTAATAAAAGCAACTCTTAAAGTGCAGAGTGACGTCAGAGCTTTCCTCCCCCCTCCGCCCCCACCCTCCATGGGGCTGGCTGTAGGCCTGGGTCTGAGGGCTGGTGTCGGGGTGACGGTGGGGGAGGCGGGGCAGGGAGACAATCCTCCCAGGTCAGGGGTCCTTTCCTGTATCCAGATATGAACCTCTCACCTGCTCTAGCTGGGGCAGGGCCAGGCCCACCTCTGCCTGAGGACAAGCTCAGGGTCAGTTTCTGGGGACCTCAGGCCCAAGGAGTGAGGGGTGGGAGCCCCCAGAAGGCCAAGGAGTGAGCACTTGGCTCTGCTCACCTGAGGATTTGGTGGGTCACTCTGGATGGCCACGGGGGGAAGCCATGTTTACCTTTGAACATATATCCCAAGGACCCCTGGCCATCCCAGGGTTGGGCCTGGCCTGAGTCTGGCCAGGAACTGTACCCTATGTCCTGCTGGAGCATCCACGGGGTAAAGAAAGCCTTTAGGAATGTGATGTCCTTGTCAGGGGCTGGGGGGAACGCAGGCTGTCTTCCTCTCCTCCTCAGGCCTAGTCCCTTGGGTCATTTCACCTCTCTCCTCTCTCCTGAGGGGCAGGGGGTCTTCTCAGTTCTCCCTGGGTACCTCAGCTCCCCTTGTGCTGCCCCTCTAGTGGTGATAAGTCTGATTGCCTGCGTGCTATGCGCTGCCCGTCCAGGGAGAGGTTCTCCTCCCTTTGCCCTTTGGCCCTGCACCCCCAGTCATGAGGGAAGATCCTTGGATTAACTCAGGTTTGGATTGGCCCCAAGATTTTCAGTCTCGGAGCTCAAAGGTCTCCGGGCCCTTTTTATTTGTGGGGTTCCCCGGGTGCAATTCATTTTGCCAGCTTCCACAAGGGGTGAAGGGCAGACGCGATACTCCGTGTTCCGATGCCGAGGCTGGCAACTGCGCTGCTCTGCCTGGTCCTCGCCCACTGGCATCTGCCCCACCATGCTGCCGCTGAGCAGGGTGAGTAACATTGACAATGCTGTCCCCACAAGCCTGCTCCTGGACCTGCCCACCCCAGGGCCCAGGTGAGGGGCGCCCTCCACCCAGGGCACAGCCTTATGCCCCCTAGACTCCCCTCCTCTCCCAGAAACCTTTCTGGTAAGTATGGGACCTTGGAGCCTGCTTTGGGTTGGCCTCTCTGTTACCTCCCAGCAGGTGAGTTCAAAACACCTGCTTGTTGATCTGGCAGCTTCAAGGATCTAACGGAACACGCCAGACACAATGCCTGGCACAAGTTAGATGCTCCATCAGGAGCCTGTCTACATTCTGTGAATGTCCCTGTCCCACTCCCTCTCACCTCCTATGCCTGCACCAAACACTCCAGGGTCTTCCTTTTTGGTACTGGGAATTGAACCTGGGGTGCTTAACCCCTGAGCCACATCCCCAGCCCTTTTTATGTTTTATTTAGAGACAGGGTCTCACTAAGTTGCTTTGGGTCTTGCTGAGTTGCTGAGGCTGGCTTTGAACTCACAATCCTCCTGCCTCAGCCTCCCGAGTGGCTGGGATCACAGGTGTGCATGTCTCCCTTCTGCCCAGGGTCTTCTTTATGTACCATGAGACACTTTGCCTGAAAGTTCTGTTTCCTCTAACATCTGTCTTGACCGTTTCTGCATTACTTCACCCCTGCTTTGTGCCCTGAGATTGGTCACAAGACGGAGTCTCAGGAGCCCCAGATTCTAAACCTGCCAGGAGCCAGCTACGTGCCATGGGCCACTCCATTATCTCTGGCCTCTGTGTCTTCCTTGAAAAAACAAGGGTTGGGCCTCTAGAGGCCCTTCTGGACTTAATTACCTTGAGCTCCACAGCCATGGGGACCAGGTTCACGGCAGCAGGAGATGACAGTGGATTGTGTTCAGACTATCAGGGGCTCCCTCTGTCCCTTGCCTGTCCCCAGAGAAGGAAGGAGGGAAACCGAGGCAGAAACCCAGCCCAAGGGCCTCAGTGTTTCCATCCCCTAGAACTGTCCCCTTGGGAGGGTCTGGGTAGGAAGAAAGGGGACTCGGAGCCAGAAGTGGAATTCTCTTGCCTAGCCCAGTAGAGGTCATCTCCAGAGACCCACCCTGGACTTTGCCCTGCCTTGAGGGTACTTCCTGAAACAGCGTGGGGCCCAGAGGAGGGGGCCGGTCCCTGCCAGCCAGCTGTTGTCTAAGGAGGACATGCATGGGCATGGGAGGGAATACAGCTGAGCGGAATCCTTGGTTCTGGGGCTTTGGGTGGTGGCATCTGAGACACGGACATGAGCCTCAGTGGAGAGGAACTTCCCGGCTCCTCTCATCCTCTGTCCTCCCTTCTCTCCTCCATTCCCTTTTTTGTGGTAGTTGATTTTGTACCAGGGATTGAACCTAGGGGCGCTCTACCACTGAGCCACATCCCCAGGCACCCCCCCCCCGCCTTTTTATGTTTTATTTAGTGACAGGGTCTCTCTGAGCTGCTTAGGGCCCGCAAAGTTGCTGAGGCTGGCTTTGAACTCGTGATCCTCCTGCCTCAGCCTCCAGAGCTGCTGGGATTGCAGGTGTGGCCACCGTGCCTGGCTCCATTTCCTCTTTCTGGGTTCTCTCCTCCTCATCCCCCCCTTTTCCATTCCCCACCTCCTTCCTCGTCTTCTGGCCTCTTCCCACCTGCTACATGCTGGGCCTCGTTGATCTTGACCTCCGTCTCCCGCTCCTGCCATGGGAGCTTGGAGGGCTCTGCCCCTGCTCTACAGGATTCTGGGGTTTCCCCCATGTCTGGGCCTGGGATCAGCTGTTCCCTTGGGCCCCCGGCCAGCTCTGAGAGGCATCTGATTCTTCCCTGTTCCCTCTGCAGAGATTCAATGACTCATCCCTCAGGGATGCTGGACTGGGGGTGCCGGGATAGGGTGTGTGTTCTAGAGAAAGAGCTTTGTGGCCTCAGCCCAGCCCTTCCCAGCAGATGCCCTCTCACCTCCCAGAGCAACGGGTATATGGCCTATTAACAAACACAGTGTTCCCTGGTCAGGCCCAGCCCTAAGTAAGTGCCCTCTCACCCCCACACCCAGCATGAATGGACCTGGAGGTCAGTCCCCAGTCCACTGCGTGTGTCCCTCTGCCCTCCCTCACCCACCGACCCCACCGCCTGTCAACAGGGCCCAGCTCCTCTGAGAAGCCTTCCCAGGCCCCCCCCAACTATCTCCTCTCCACTGAAACCCACCCTGCTACCAAAGGTGACAGATAAGAAGCTGGACTTGCTTCCTGGGGCTGCTTAGAACAATTGAAATGTATTGTTTCACAGACCTGGGTAGAGGTCTAAGGTCCAAGGGCTCAGCAGGGCCACACTCCCTCTGAAGGTGCTCAGGAGGCTCGGGTGGTGCCTGGAGTTCGTCCTGACCTCTTCCTGTGTGGATCTGTCTTGTGCATGTGTCTGTCTCTGTGTCCAAACTTCTCCATTTTATAAGGACACCGGTGATACTGGAGTAGGGCCCGTGTTAATGACCTCAGTTTAACTTGGACACCTGCAAACGCGGTCTCCAAGTAAATGTGCGTTTACTTGGGCTTCAGTCCAGCTCCTAAGAGGAAGGAGTGGGAGGAGACCCTAGGGGTGGGGAAGGGGTCTGTTTATTTTTGAGGTGCTGGGGATGGAATCCCGTGCCCTGTGCATTCTGGGTAAGCACTACCCAAGGACTTTTTTTTTTTTTTAAAGTAATTGCTATTAATCAGAAAGAAGAGCAGGGGAGGTGAGCTGGTGGGGAGAAACTGGTGGGGTGACCCCCGTTCCCCTCTTTTCCCACACCCTCATTCTCCAGTGTAGAGGCAACTGCTTTGTCTGCTCAGCCCCCGAAGCTTCTGAGACCCAGTTGACCTCTCCCGCCTAAACTCCCACCCTGCAGAGCCTGTGCTTCCTCCCCACTCACCCTCTCCCATCACTCAGGAGTCAGCGGGGTCAGGACCTACTGGGGAGGGTCAGGCAGGGAGGGAGGGGTGGGCTGGTTGTAGGAAGCCGCCACTGCAGGACCCAGGACTTTGGCCCTTTGGCCCATCTCTGTGGTAAGAGGGCTGGTTCTGGGAGCCACCAGGTCCTCTAGGTCATGCCATGATGCTCGCCCTCCCTGTCCTCAACCCTGGCCACAGGCAACCCACCAACAGAGCAGCTGCAAGCAATTCATGCCCTTGAGATGATGGGGCTGGAGCCTCTCACCTCGCTCTGGGTGGGATTGGTGATATGATTCACAGGGCTCAGCACAATATGGGCATATTGTTCAAAGATTATTAAGATTTTAAGCCAGTGCAGTGGCTCACGCCTGCAATCCCAGCAACTCAGGAGGCTGAGGCAGGAGGATTCAAAGTTGAGGTCAGCCTCAGCAACTTAGTGAGAACCTGTCTCAAAATAAAAAGGGCTGGGGAGGTAGTTCAATGGTAAAGAGCCCCCTGGGTTCAATCCCTGGTACAAAACCCAAACAAACAAAGCTCCTGGGTTCAATCTCCAATGCCACAAAAATAAATAAAAACTTTAAAGGAAAGGTTATTAAGAATTCCAATGCAGGGCTGGGGTTGTGGCTCAGCAGTAGAGCACTTGCCTCACAAGTGCGAGACCCTGGGTTCGATCCTCAGCACCACATAAAAATAAAAAAATTAATTAAAGATACTGTATCCAACCACAACTAAAAAATAAATATTTTTTAAAAAGAATTTCAATGCAAAGTCAGAAGAGCACCTGATAAACACAGGGTCCTTCACAGAAGCTGGCCCAGCTGCTAAGACAACTGAAAAACACACTGTAGGGCAGGAGGTACCACTCTGTGTAGAGCATGTATTTAGCATGCAGAGGGCCCTGGGTCCAATCCCTAGTAAAATAAATAAACAAACAAACCAAGAAAAAAAAAATCTGATTTGAACAATTGATTTTTAAAAAATATCATTGTAGCACAACATTTTCCCCTGCCAAAATGGTGACACTGTAGAAGAGGGGCATTTAAAAACACTTTAAATAATTCTTTGAGAACTTTTGACTATTTTTCAGAAC